ATCTATATCTATTTATATTTAATATCTATTTACTCCCCAAGTCGAATCGAATCAAGTCATTGGCAGGCAGACAGGGAAAAATAAACTTTGAGAGATACTTATAATTTAATTATCATATTAATATTTAAATATATTGATATTTATTAGTACTAGTACTAATATCCATTAGTAATTTAGTAAGTAGTATCGATGTCTAATATCTCTCATCTTCTCACCCCCCTTCACCCCCCTTTACCCTCTATACTTTCCCTATACCCACCCCTATCCCCCCTCAATCTCCATCCTCACAACACCTCCGAGTCTCGTACCCCAGTAACCCCAGTAAACACATAACCACTTTAACACACACTACACACTACACACTCATAAAGGAAAGTAAATTTCCATTATCATTATCATCATCATCATCATCATCATCAACTATAATCTCAAATTTAAGTTCTGGGTATTTAGCATATATGTACTCGAGTATGTATATAAGTATGTAAGTAAGTATAAGCATCAACTCAACTCAACTCATCTCATCAAAAAAACGCATTCGCATTCAAGTATATTCTCTTCTCTTCTCTTCTCTTCTCTTCTCTTCTCATCTCCCCATCTGCTCCTCTCTCCATCTGCTTATTCTACCCATCCCATCCCAACCCAGCAGTGATAACTTTCACTGGACTGGATCATCCATCATCCATCTACCCATTTACCCATCTACCTCCACCCCAATCAACCATATCTCTATCCCTATCCCTATCCCATTCATACCAACCAACCAACCAACGCTATGCCCCCTACAAAAGAAAATACCAAACCACTTCCACTTCCACTTCCACCTTCCCCAAATCGCTCAACCATGCATGCATCATCAATGAAGTTTCAAAACCATCATCTGCCCTATCCTATCTGCCCTCTCCACCCTCTCTACCATACTTCTCCTATCTACCCTCCCCAGTACTAGGAGCACCAGGAACCATATCCAACACCTCAAACTTCGCCGGCATTTCCTTTCTATTCTTGCCTTCTACCACCGCAATCGGTCCTAGATCCGCCACATTTACATCACCACCCCCTAGCAACGCGACACTACTAATAACATCCACCGGTTCAAGTAGATGCCATTTGGCCAATGTTGGTTTACTAGAAGCACCTACCGTGACGGTAAAGACGTGATCTTTGTCGAGATCACTATTATTTAATGCTCGAAACATATCTTCATCGGTAGTATCATCTCCAGCGCAAATGGTGAATTCGGGAGGTTGTCCGACTTCTTTGCCGTAAGCGTCGACGAGTCGTTTGGCAATGGAACCTTTGTTGATGAATGTTGGACGGACTTCAAGATTGGCTTTACCAGTCATGACTTCGACATCCCAAGATTTGCCAACAGTAGCCTCTAGTTCTTTTTGACATTCACGAGACATACGTTCACCAAGTTCTGGATCCGATGGACGGTAATGCCATGTCAAGGCGCAGCGTTTGCGTTCGATAAAGGAGCCTGAATATGTTAGTTACGAATCAAATTAAAGGTGTAACAGAAATGCTACTAACCTGGAGTCATCTCGGTATATTTCTGGAAACACTCCATGACTTCCTTTTGCCAGCCCATGTCAAATTTCTCGGCGAGATTCTCCCATTCCTGACTACCAGGATGACGCATAAAGCTACCATGTTCAGCACTGAACCCCAACTCGGGAATATGTCCTAAATGTTGTCCCAAGAATTCTTGATCTCTACCACTAATGATCCAAATGGAGTTTTTGGGATCAGCAGCGAGAGCTTTTAGCGTACGATATAATTTGTCGGATGGTAAAGCTGCAGCAGGATCTCTGACAATAGGTGTAAGAGTACCATCATAATCAAACATAAATAGCCTCTTATTAGCGGCTCTATATTGGATCAACATGGAAGCCTTATCCAAGAGAGGTGTTGCAAATGCTTCACTATTGGAACTAATTTTTGTGATTAATGTTCGAATGAGACTCTTGGTCCAGACTTGAATGTCGTTTTCAAAGATATAATCGGATAATTTCTGGTGAAGATCTGCCTTGGTGTCGGGAGGCATCTCCAACGCATGTACAATGTTCTCTGCGACAGTGTTCATATCCCATGGATTGATATGTATGGCTGCATCCAAGACTCCAGCCGATCCAGAGAATTCGGATATGATCAAGGGACCATGATTTTCTTTTTGGCAAACAACATACTCCAAACTTGTTGTGTTCATGCCATCACGGACACTGGTGATTAGACCAACATCCGCTACACGAAGAAGAGCAAGATACTCTTCTTGTGAAAGATATTGAGGATAGTGTTGAACGGGAGAGAAACTCAAGGAGCCATAGACACCATTAATTTTTGAAACAAGTTCAGCGACATTGGCCGCGATCTTATTTCCAGAATCTTCTCTTTCTTCTTCAACGCTGGTTGGACTTGTGACTTGTACCAACACGACCTTGTTACGCCATTCCGGGTAATTTTCCAAGAAACGGTCGAAAGCCATGAGTTTCTGAGCAACACCTCTGACACTGTCAAGACGATCTCGGCCAACGATGATTTTCTTGCCTGCATATAATTTCTTCAATGCTGCAACCTTCTCATCAACAGCGGGATCTCCAAAGGCGAGTTTTTCAACATGTCGTGCATCAATTCCAATGGGGTAGGCTTCCACATCACATCTTACACCATATGCTTCGACACCCGCGCTCGTTGACGGGAATCCTAGGATACGAGTACAACAGGAATTAAAGTGTCGAGTGTAACTGAATGATTGCAATCCAACCAAATTTGCACCCAAAACACCCTCCAATATCTCCTTTCTTCTCGGTAAGCATCGAAGGAATTCGCTACTGGGAAATGGGATATGTAGGTAGAAGAGGATGCTCATATGTGGGACGAGTTGTCTCAACATGGTAGGAAGGAGTAAAAGATGATAGTCGTGAATCATGACAAGGTCGCCTGGCTTGTAGACCTCAAGGATTCGGTTTGCGAATTTTTTATTCATTCGATAATAATCAGCCCATGATTGTCGTTCTTGTCGGCCATTTGTAGGTTCATGTTGTTTGTAGTGGAATAGAGTATACAGCTCATGCTCGGCGTATCTTCTCCATCTTGCTTGGTCTTTCAAGCAGATGCTCCCATCCTCGCTGGTATCTGCGTCGTCACACAACCAAACGGGAACAATTTTTCCATGTTGTTCATGTGAGAGTTGTTTCTCAAGTCGTTGCCTGTCTTCACTTGTAATAAATACTCCTTCATTTTCTTGTGTATTTTGAGGCATAGTAACACCATCAACTGGAATCGGTGCCGAGCTCTTGTTGAAAGGAACTCTGTTTGCTGGGGGTTGCGATAGTATAGGGTGACCTCCAATTGGAGGAGTATCTGGAGGTGTGAGATCTTCGACCGGTTTGATTTCTCCAGTCCAGCCAACAAGTGTGTGATTCCATGGGGATTTGTCAGAAGCAAGATATCTGAAGGAGTCGAATTGCGAGGAACCGCCATGTCTTTGCGACCAAGTCTATGCGATTGTTAGTACCACAAATGGTCGAAAAGTATGTCCGCACTCACCCAGTCTGAGCCTTTTCTGTACATCAAAGATTGCTGTATACAAAATGTTGCAGAGATGATTCCTCCAGTCAAACCCAATGATGGATGCGCAGCTCGAGGATCAAGGTCCGATAAGGAACCTTGTCTCTCGCGACCAGCAGACAAGCTCAGTCTGCGAAGGACTTCTTGATTTGATAGTGTGCCAGGTATGGCATCGAGTGGTGATTTTTCCATGATTGAAGAGTGGTTAAAGCCCTGTAAGAAATAGTTTTGTTCGACAATTTTAATCGATTTCTCTTCCTTATTTTCTTTGTATGCCCCCAAATGAATGCCCGGAGTGACTGGGACGTTAGTTATGGATGGACTCAAAGCTGGGTGTCGAGTAATCTGCTTCTTGGGAGCTGCTGGTCTTCGTGGAGGGGTAGCTGCCGATGTTTGCGACTCAGTGAAGCCTGAGCTCAACGAATCTTTTGTATTCTCTGCCATGATGAAATGTAAGTAAAGAGTTATGTAGAGTTTGTACTGAAGGTATTTGTAGGAGAGAAGATCATAAATAGGTATGCGATAAGAGGTGGTTATGTAGGAAGAGTCTGAATGGTAGGATTTGGATAAAGTAATATGTAAATGGAGGGGTCAAATGAGGGATGTGTTTGTGAGACTTCAAATCTTTCAAATAACCTTATTGGCTATTGGCAGGTTACTTTGAATGAATAATATTTCAAAGGTAGGAACGTGGTCAAGTGGTTGGAATAAATGAAGGAATCGCAAAGATAGGATAGAAAATCCTGGAATGGTACAAATGAAATAACTGGCATTACCTTGGAATATTCCCAAAATATATTAAATCCCACCAAGTCGCAGCTTCCCAGAGTAAAGGCTCAGGTTGTACAATAAATGACGTAATTATGCTGTTTGCGTTTGACGAATTATAAGTTGTATAGATAAGATCTTTGTAAATATAATTATTTTGCTAAATATTATTTTCTCGATGCCGTATTCTGATATTGATGCTATTTTGCGATTTGAGACAGGAAGGTTTTGGAGGAGAGTTTTAGGGCGGAAAGGAGTAGAAGGAGTAGAAGAAGAATAATAAAGTTTACAACTTCCAAGGAACGGGGGAATTACATAGGTTTTGTTCTATGCGATATATATACATTATACAATTTCATCTGATACGGTTTTCTAGTATCGTACTATTCCATACTAATGATCTGAATACAGGGTTTTCAAGGTGGAGATACATATTAATATGGGTATGGAGAACAATTCCATGGTCGAAATGACTCAATTTGGAGACTATGATTGTATTAAATTGGGTCTTGATTGGATGATTCGATAGGTTTGATTGAGTCAACGCTAGGAACGGGCTTATTGATGGAGAAAATATATCTAATTCAAGATAGAAATAGAACTGTAAACTGGCTTAATTTATTAGTGTTTCTATAGATGTTCTAGATTTGTTCTACTCTAATTAAATAACCTTATTATCCGATCTGATATGGAAGGTAGTAATGGCCTTCTTCGTATACTCGAGTATGTATATATTTAACATCAACATCATCAACATCATCAACAACATCAACAACATCATTATCATCATCATCATCATCAAACCTTCGAGCGTAGCGAGCTATGGGGGTTTGGGGGCTTGCCCCATCAATCAATCGTTTTGAATTGAATCTATCCATAGAGAAGAGTTCTTCAATAGAATTCAATAATCGACATCTAGCATCTATTAGCATCAAAATATCTAAATAAAGCCTCGACTTTCAATCTATATGACTTCCAATTTCACCCCATTCACATTACCTAGTATCCATCATTTCTATTTACATTTATCAGAAGGTTTCAAAGGTTTCAAATACACTATTCTTCTCAAGCTCTGCTCTGGACAAATCAATTCTAGCACCCAACGCATGGTAGTCTTACCAGCCAGTTCAAAACTCTAAAGTTCTTGTTCTTGTAGAACTCATATAAAATGAAAGTATGATAACCCAACCCAACCCACCTTTCCCCTTCTCTTACACCGATCCATATATTTATTACAATAGATACACTTTTCATCTCTCCAGAGTCTTTTTTTATCATCTGGTCGGTCCGGCCAACCGTTTTCTCTATCTCTCAATCTTTCTCTAAGCATTCACCAACTTAAGTAATGTGGCTGGTGTGTGGGGTAATTTCTTATCACTACGAAGTCAAAGTCTCATACATACCGGTATATCAAATTAGTTTCTGGAAGACTCATTGATTATTATTTCATCTTGATATTCTGCTACCTATGAATCTCATTGCATTGCGTTATGTTATCCAAGTACAATTTCAACCTCTCTACTCGTATCTACAACACTCAAAAGGGTATTCATCCGCAATGTTCATCCGAGTCATGCTGAAGCCAGCAAACATCATCATAAAAGCTGTGATTTGATTTATTGTCATTATTTCGTCTTTTGTATTGCATTCTCATTCATCTCGAGTAGCTCCACCTACTGTCAATTAAGCTTGTCAGATCCGAACGGCTGATCTTATTGATCTGTTTGTTGTCTTCTTTATAATGTTTTATTGTTTTACGAGGCTGTTGTGTTTGTTCTCGCCGCAACAAGCTTAGCTGCCAAATGTCAGTCCTTTGATGCCAGTGATTGTTTATAGCTTATACTCCAGTAAGTAGTCTCAAACAAATTGCACATCGTTATTGAATGTAAAATCCTCGTACACCTTATTATCTTTGCAACATGGCTAGAGGTAAAGATAGGTCCGCCTCCCCTGCCCGTTCTGATAAGGGGAGAGAACCAATACGCGATCGTAACTATTCAGATCCGGAAGCGAGTGAACCTAGACTAACTAGACTTCGTGCATCTCGACTTAAGAATCGCTCATATTTTGAGTCGGAAAGAGGCCCGGAGCCGATGGATCTTGATCTCAAATCCCCGTTTTCGTCAACCAAATCATCACCCAAAACACCAAAATCATCAAAATCGCCAAAAACACCAGAGTTTCTGAAGGATATACCACCAGGTAAAGGATACAAGAAATTCAAGGAAGCAGAAATACCCGTTGTTGGAGATCTCGACGTCCAAGACCTTGAAAAGAGATTGTCAAAACGATTCCCAGTTGTCAGTAAATTGATCACTCCAAAATACTGGCCCACAGATATTTATCCAATATCTGAAGCAGGCCTTGTCCCTCAGTTTCCGGCTACAAGCATGATGTAAACATTATCAAAAAGCTTGGTGATGAAGGAAATCATGGAGCTACATTTCTTGCTGAGATAGGAAATGTAATTGTGCCAACCTCCAATTTCTTATCCACTCACAAAAACAGGATTCAACTCTACGTGCTTAAAGTTTCCAGAGCTCATGCACGAGTTCCCCCAAACGAGTTGAGGATTTTATCTTATCTTAGTAGATATCATCCTCGCATCACACCGCTCAAAGCTTTTATGACCGAGGGAAACCTCGACATTCTCTACTTTCCATATGCCGATGCCGGCGATCTCGCCACTTTCATAGAATTGTACAAGATCAAAAAATCAATCATACCAGAAGCATTTATCTGGCATATCATGACCCACCTGATTGAAGCAGTCTACTTCCTTCAATACCCAAAGCCTGATAACGAAAACTACCGATACACTATCTGGCATCTGGATATCAAACCCGAAAATGTTCTTATGCAGTGGCCACCAAAGAACCGAGATAACACCCCCTGTTATCCGAATATCCAACTTGGAGGATTTGGGTTGGCAATCGAGGTTCGCAAGACTCTGCTAAGGAAGAAAGGAGCAGCTGCGATGGGGCCCCTGAGCCTGAACTTGGGTCCGGGTGAGGGTACCTTATGCCGCCCCAGAGCAACTCAGAGGATACTATAATGCCAAAACGGATGTTTGGGGTATCGGCGCCACCATTCATGAATGCGTACATGGATATCCGCCACTCACACCTCAAAAGAGCCATAATACGCGTGCTCGCAGCATCGGTACTCACACGGTATACCCCCGTCCGGTCTACACGGACCTCGAATGGCGCGGGATGCCAAGCACACCGCGAGCATGCTGGGAAATGCCAGGACACTATTCGTCCTCGTTGAGGGACAGGCTCTATCATCTGTTAAGGGTAGATCCGAGCCCGAAAGAGCATGAGAATGATTTGACAAAGAGAGTGGATATTGAGGTTTTGAAGGAGTACCAGGATATATTCAAATTGAGTAAGGATTATTTTGTGGAGTTGCCGAAATGGTTTTCGGAGGCGCGGCAGGGAGAATTGGGCGATTTGGTTAAGAAAGAGAGGGAGGCAAAGATTATTTTGGGTCAGGATGGGTTGGGGGAGTGGAGGGTGGTGAATATGTGGAGTAAGAAGGTAGAGGGGTGGGAAGTATCATAGGGGATGGGGTGGTGGGTTTTTTTGGGGGGAGCGGTAGGTGGTTTATTTGGTGTGAGTTTCTGATAGTATTTGCTGTACTCGAGTAGTCTGCTATTGAGGAGTTTTGGGTCGTCGGATAGAGTCGCGTACTTCAATTTACTTCATCTAACATATCGAGCTCGTCTGTCTAGGAGAATTACAACCTTTGAAGTTTGTGAGCGGGTGCATGAGGTCTTCCTTTGAGAATGCTGTAAAATGTTATTGTATGTAATCAACCTTACAGTGTAAGGTAAGGTAAGGTAAGCTCAGAAATACAATAAGTTGCAGGTAGAGGTGAACAGCATGTTGTATTGTGTTATCTGTACCAAATCGTCGTTCACTTTTAACTTAACATAAGACTGAATCGGTAAGCTGTTCCCAATAAAATGAACTTGTACTGTTGTTTTACTATACTAATACTGGTGTACTGAGGTCGTTCGAAGAGATAGTACTACTAGACTCAAAGGTGTATCGTACTAGCGTGGTGGCTACTAAGTGCGAAGAACGACTTTATTCTACTCCCTCAACTTAAATCCTCAACAAATAAAGAAAATCACCATCGCAGATTCCGTCACAACACAAAGTCTCCTCCACCAAATCCAGAATAAACACAAACAACCCATTCCGCCAAAATATGCACCACACAAGCAACAGAGAGATACCTCAAACTCCACCAAAAAGTGAATACAATCAGTCAAGTCAGTCAGTCACTCAACCCTGACGACTCGCACTACAATACCTCTCCCCATGTCCCTCCTCAAACCCCCCATTATAATCCCTCAAATAATTCCCACAAAAACAACTATCCTCCTCCGCCTCCCCCCCCTCCCCCTCTACACACCTCTCCACCGCATGACCCCCCGGAAACCCCCCACTCCTCTCAAAATCCCCCTCCAAATATCTCTGATGCTGTCTACACTCACATACATCCCCTCTCTCAATCCACTTGCGCATATTCGCATTAATCGATATCTGCGTCCTAACAGGCGCAGTGCGATCCTCGGTCAACTGCGAGTCCCGACGAGATTGTCCGTTGCCGATGGCAACACAGTACTCGCCGCATCGCTGGAGGGTGCCGCTAATGCGTCGGTTGTAGGCGCTGGTAACGAGATCTAGTTTGTTGTCGAGGTGTGTGGTGCGGTTGCGGGAGTCGATTATGCGGAGGAGCGTCTCGCGTTCGGAGCGGAGCCAGGGTTCCATAGAGCGAGGGGGGACGGGGCCTACGGGGGTGGCATCGGCGCTGGTTGGGCGTTAGTGTTGGTTTTCAGTTTTCAGTTTTTATTATTGATGTTTGTTTGTAGGAAGTGGGATTGTGGAGTAAGCAAACTTACATGAAAGGAATAGCATCAGCAGCCTCCAGCTCCATTCTGTTTCTTCGCTCAGGCGTAGCAACAAGCCAGGTAGCAGTTTTCCTAACTCGCTTCTTAGCTTGATATCGCTGAGATGCCCAGCGAGCCTTCGCTAGACCCGCTGCTCCTCGTTGACGCCAACGTTCGCTAACTTGAAAGGTGGGTTCTGCGGGTACTTCTTCTCCTTTTTCTTCCTCTTCTTCTCCATCATCATCAGCATCAAAATACTCATCATCATCTCCACTTACATTTCCTCCCTTCCCCATCTTCTCTTCAGGTTCCATCTCACGTCCATGGCCCTGACCCCTCCTCATCATCCCGTACCAATCCTCCTCAGTCGTCAGTACACTCATCGCATCTAATTCGTGTTGCCAGTCCAACATCATGTCGAAATCGTGTCCCTGTGTTTCATGAGCGTGGATTACGCGGCGCTTCTTGCGGTCACGTCGTTTGTCGGTTACCCAGGCGGCTGAGGCGGCTCGGACCGTGGCGATGGTGGATGCGAAGGTGGTGGTGCTGCTGGTTGGTTCGGAAGGTGTAGTAGTAGGAGTAGGAGCAGTAGCAGCAGCAGGAGCGAATTCTTCGGCTCGAGGGCGACGGCGACGACGAGGGGGTGTGGTCCGGGCTCGGGTTCGGGCTCGGCCTCTGCGAGGTGGAAGAGAGGGTGCAAGTTGAGGGGTTGGAAGGGGGAGAGCAGGAAGTCCTTGGGGTGTGGGGGCTGGGGGGGAAGCAAAGTCCAATGGGGTGAAGTATTGCTGGGGATGGAGGGGCTGGTGAAGGGATTGTACTTCTGCTTGTACTTGTACTTGTACTTGTACTGGCACTTGTACTGGCTGACTGGTAGTACTTCGAGTCAAGCTAAGTTCCGATTGCTCCAATTGTCGGCGATGGGTAATAGCTAGTGTACCTGTAGCCATGAAAGAAGGGAGGAGGGCAGATGGGTCTGTTTGGCGTCTTTGGGGTCTAGGAGGGGGAGGAGGAGGAGGAAACTGTGCCATTATTGCGCTGTTACTATGTTCTTTTGTATAGAACTTGAAGTTGGACTTGGTGTTGTTGTTATTGTTGTTGTTGTAATGTAAGTACAAAGAAGGTAATAAAGTAAGAAGAGTATAGTAAAAGTTATTGTAAAAAGTTGTTGTTGTTGTAAGAAAAAAAGAGATTTAAAATTAAAAAATATCAAATCTGAAACCGAGGAAACAAAGTATATCATCATGTAATTTCAAAACCGTACTAGCGAGACGCCACATATTTACATATGTGCATACGTGCATAAATGAAGATTATTGGCTGGAAATTGTGTGTGGAGGGGTGAATGTTGGGCTTCGAGCGATGGTCGAAGATTCTAGATGCTGGATGGGTGGGATTGGGATTGGGATTGGGATTGGGATTGGCTGGGAGTTTGCTGTAGGGATTTATGGTAAGGAGGGGTTTGATGTGATGTGAGTGGATGGTTATTGGATGGATGGGGTATTGTATGCGGTGTTATTGGTTGATTTTATTAGTTTGTACTGTAGATGTATATATTTGATGTTGTTATTGGTAGGTTGTTGTAGGTTATGAATATTGGGGATACTTGATTCGACAGGATTGTTAGAGATGGTTTGATACTATGTGTGGATGAATGTCGGGGTTTATTTTTGTTGATATTCGTCTGATATAAATAGTTTTGATATCATGTATGTGATGAATGTTGAGAGTTTGCTTTGGTTGGTATCGTCTGATATTACTATATTTTGCTTTGAATGTGCTATATATATAGAGAGGAAAGGGGTTCTCGTCTAATATTATTTTGAATAATACATTGAGTAACATTGTACTTGCGATATACTAGAGAGTTTCGTTTAATCATCTTTCTAACAATACTTTTAGTAATATTATACTTGAGATATACTAGAGGCTTTCGTCTAATTGTGATTGTTTGATGTTATTTAGGTTGCCTTGGATGTTCTATAGTATTGTGAATCTAGATGATTGTAGTTTAGTATCTTTGATATGAGTGTCTTCAAAGTTAATTTCTGTTATGTGTATTTGTAGTTATTATCTTAGTAGTATCATCTGATGTTTTTTAATTTAGCTGGAATTCCTTTTAGCTTTGTGGATATTATTGTCGTCTACTCTGATAATATCATTTTAGATGTGTTAGATGTATGTGCGAGGTATAGATATCGGGGGTTTCTATCTTGATTGTATCGTCTAATTTGTCGTAAATCTCCTTTAACTCTAGAGATATTAGAGCTGTTGATTTTGATGATATTATTCTAGTTAACTTTGATGTCTCTGGCGGTTGTAGAAATTATGACTCTTCATCCAAAAACTATCACCTAATGTTAGTCAAGTTAACTTCCTTTCTTTGTCTCAAATATAGACATCTAGACTTTCTAATTTAGTAATTTTGTTCCAAAATCTCAGGAGTCTACTTGTAGTTAGGAACATTAGACAGTATTATCCCAGCGATGTTGTCTTGATATCTCAATTTCCTTTATTTTCTTTTATTATGATCTTGGATATTGGAGTGTTTACTCTGTTGCTTTGTTTCTTTATAGTATCCTCAAATACTTATATAGCTTAAGAACATAGAAAATTATCATCTAGAGTGTATCAACTCGAATCCACTAACTAATTTACTGTCGGAATAATAGTCATATTCACCTAGGTAACCGTAGTAGCTATTAGGGCTATACGACAGGGCTGTAGCGGCACTATGACCACTACGAGGCGTATATAGTTTAGCACTGGTGACATCCATAGTAGTTCCTTAAGCAATAAGATTAAATATGAAAACGATAGTACTACTACTAG